CCACCTCTTCCGGTCGCTTGTCACACGTCACCAGGAGAAGCCGGTTGACTATTTTGTGTCACACTCGGAACCTCAGCCAGTAATTGGTCATGTGGGTACAGTACGTTGGCAGGATTTCTGCTGTGCTACATAGCCCTCATATGAAACATCTGAACCAAGGCCCACCTGCGGGGCCCTGTGCAGAAATACGTGGGTGGAAATCTCTGCAGTCCCTGCGGTCAATCGAATTGGATCGTCATGGTGTTGAAATTTCCATCGGTGCCAACCTGAGCCCAGGACAGAAATATGTCAGTGAACCTGGCCACGCTTCCACTGTGGTTCTGGAAAGATCTTGTCATGGCATGGCAGTCACATGTAAGAGATATTTATATTTTGACACTGCCAGCAAGTGCTTGCTGTCATATCCATCCCCGGCCATCGACTCCCAGGCTCTCCGACCCCTCCGTCCTCACTCTGCTCCCCCCTCACCAACCTCGGAGCCCCCGTATTCCGCAAACCTCCCGGTGCCCCTCGATGACCACCACCCCCTCATTTCAATTTATTACCTACGCCTCCCTAAGTACGGAGCCCCAAAGACTTCCGGACAGCTCCGACGTCCGCTAGCGCACTCCCGCCTCCGCTGGGCAATACACTCGCCTGCCCTGCAGAGTCCACCTTCGGGCTTATCCCTCCTTTCCGTTTCTGGGTTAACGCCTGCCTTTCCGCTAACCCCGCGAACCGACTCGTCGGTAATATTCAGTCGGCTAATGTCTTAACCCCGTTAGCTCCGCTCCGTCCGGCTCCGCCAATTGCGGAACCGCCTCCGCTGTAACCATATATATACACTACTTGTACATAGGTTACGCCCCAGCAAATAAATCAACTAGAGTTACCCCCACTAGGTTCTAAGTGCCAGTCAGTAAGTTAGGGCACGGACGTGTCACTAGGCACAGCGCTCCTGGCAGAAGTCGCTGAGGCCAAAGCCCTCCGTTACGGAGACATTCCTTCGTCTTAAAATCTGGTCTCTGACACTTGCGGCACTTGGTCAATAAAAACTTTGACGTAATTTGCAGCCAGAGCAAGTGTCCACAGGCGCTTGCACCGTGAGAACGAGCAGGGCAAGCAAGTGCTTAGTCCAAAATTCAGGTAAGCAAGGGCATACGTCCACTTGCTCAGTGGGATGATGCATCCGATCTCACGAGGGAAAAACAAAATATCCGGTTCCGTTAAAATACTCAGAGACAGTATTTCGCCATGTAGCACAAACACCTCGCACCCGTAACTTTCGTTTGCGAATATTTAGTATGTGCATCTCTAGTGGTGCTCATTGCTGATGCTGATAGCTTCAGAAAGGAAGTTCGATGATGCCCAAAGACCTTTCAGTCCTTCAACAAGAAAAGTGAGCATTGCCCCTCATCAATACAGTCATGTACCGATTTTCTCTTCAGGCAGCGTGGCAAAGAAGGCAAGTTCAAGTCATCCACATGCACCCGGAAACGTGCTGTGAAAGAGGTCCATCGGCGATGGTGCTACCGGGCATGGTGACGGTGACGGTGACGGTGAGGATGATGAGGATGGGGGTGAAGGCGATGATGGCGAGGATGATGACAGTGAAGACAATATCAGCAGGAACGGTGAGGATGATGAGGATGACGAGGATGGGATGGACTTGGATCCTGCCAGTGCAGTTAACCCCTCTCATGCGCTGTGTTCACAGAACCTGATAATCCCCTCCGATTTCCGCCACCTACAACTCGGGGTCGACCCGGCATGGAAAGTCATTGTGTGCCAGGGATGTCGAAAGGGGATCCGTTGCGGGTCCCTAAGGAAACATGTACGAAGAAAGCATGGAGGTGTCAGCCAACTACCAGTCAACTATGGAGCGATCCTGGATGAGCTGGGGGTTCCAGCCATAATCATCCGTCCAAGGTCCAAGGTGCCCCCCCTCCAGTCTATCCCGATAGTCCATGGCTTTATGTGCACGGTCTGTGGATTTGCCGGCATTAAGGAGGAATCGATGAAGTGAAACCACAAAAAAGCACATAAAAGAAGCTTTGGCGTGGTTCCAACCTCCGTGCAGGTTGTATTTTCCGGATTCAAGGGCCATCAGACGTGGGTGGTGGACGAGAACTACACCTCGCTTTGTGCCCACGAGACCGACATGCAGGGCTTCTTCATCGACCTCTTCCAGAGGGAGTCATTGAGATGGAGGCCAACAACGATGGAGGATTCCGTCGATTCACGGCATATAAACGGCTTCCTGTCCATGGTGGGGTGGCTGGACCAGACCAAAGGACTCCCCTTTCGGGAGCTGAACGAGATCACCAAGGCGCCAACAGCTCAAGCCGATCCCCAATGGTTACAGGCGCTTGATGATCAAGTGACAGGATACTTCGAACGCCTCCGGCCAGTGGTCAAGTCGACATCCCTTCTGATCCAGAGATGGGTGAACAGCACGACTGAGTGAGTCGCTACCGCATATAGACGATGCATCCTCGCTGATGTCATACCAGCTCCATCGAGAACATTCCGTTTACTTATCCCCAAAATAGCTCAACATCGGAAAAGTACAAGACTCTGGCCTTACGCTTCATCTGTTTTTGTCATGACCATGCATTCTGACCCAGATGCCGGCCCTTATTCTGTTTCCTTTTGTTTCATTTTGTCACCTGACTCATTCAGTTTCTTACTATATATATATGTATATTACATTATTATAACTTTAGTCTGAATATCGACATGGTTTGTCCCCCCTAACAAGGCAGCCCAAGCCACTTCGAAATGTGGGCACTGAGACAGTAGGTGGGCACAGCGTTTTCTTGGAGTCGCTGAGGCCGAAGCCCAACCCCGGAGCCTTGTCCCCACCAGTCGTCCCTATTCGCCTGACCCGTACCTAACAGTTTTGCGGTTCGATACTGTTGCGTGAAGAACGAGAAATTCCACCTCATGATCAACTTCACCTCTGAGCAACGGGACAGTGCATGGCGGATATACGAGGCACTCCAATCAAAGGCAGCAAGGGGGAACGATGAGTGGGATGGTTTGGTCCATCAAATGCTTTTCTCCCTGTTCTTTACAGCGCACCCACAGCTTCTGCAGCAGTCTCAGAAGGATCCCATCCACGTCTTCCTCATGCTACTGAACCTGAACCCGAACAGTGGCCACTTTCCATCCTGCGGGACGATGTGTGGGAAGATGTCGGGACTGCTGCATGTCTTCTGGTTGGTGGCCATCAAGGATATTAGTTTGGCTGCTGGTGGGGGGGAATTGGTAAATGGCGTGGCCAAGAGCAAGGAATTCAAGTGACACACGTACTCACATGCCCTGACACATTTTTTTAGGAAGTGCGAGGAGTTATGCACCTGTTGGCTGCGTTCTGGGAGTGCCAGCCCATTTGATACAGTCCTGTCATTGGGCCGTTATGCAGCAAGGGTTGCCATGAGCGACGGGGAGGGAGTAGCGACAGTGGTATGGAACGAAGATCACCAGTCAATGACGGTCAGGGGTCTGTCGGTCAAGCTGGAGGACATCCCAACGCTTTACCATGGGATCCTGGAGAGCATCAGGGAGAAGATGAAAAGCCTCTTGGAGGGAGCGAGCCTGAGCATCCCGTTTGATTGCACCAGGATCGCCGATGACCTGCAGAACAGCCAGCCTGACTACAGCTTTCTGTCGGATCCGAACATCTTGCGTATCAAGAATGACCTACTGATTTCGCTGGGCAAGCCGAATTGGTTTGTTGCTGATCCACATGGTCGGCTCGAGTGGAACCGTTTGAAGGTGGTGGGGTGGATGGAGATGGCACAGGAACTCAACAAGCTGTTCCTGGTCACGGTGCATCTGGGAGGTGGGCAACCAGCGAGGGGCACGGAGATCCTAAGCGTGCTGATAAGGAACCGTCAAAACGGGGAGAGGAGCCTGTTCGCACTCTGCGGTGGATTGACCACCATCATTAGCTATAACAAAGTGAGTAGGAGGATCGGATTCAGACGGTGTATGCATTGATGTTTTTGACAGACAAACTCAATGACTAAGCACCGCAAGCTCATTGCATGCTTTTTGCATGAGAGTCTCTCTGGCCTCCTCCTTCAGTACCTGATATTCGTCAGGACTGTAGAGGAGGAGTTCTCAGGATTCCTTTGGGGGGAGCAGGCACCGCCATGCCTGCATCATTATCTATTCTATACGGGGAAAGGCGAAACAGCTGAGACACGCCTCTTGAGTGTGACGCTGAAGCAGGAAACTACACATTACCTCCAAGCGGGCCTGGACGTGCCGACTTATAGGCATATGGCTGCAGCCATTGGCCGACACTTGATGGTCGGCATCATCGACCCAGAAGAAGATGAGACGACAACCGGGATGGACGCGCGGGCCGGAAGGCTGACTACAACATCTGAGAAGATTTATGGCCTCCAAAAGGATGAGCTTGGTGGTCTTGGGCCCCGTGTCCTTGCTCTCTTCCGTGCCACCAGTCGGTTATGGCATCGCAAGGTGCTGGGACTGTCGGTAAAAGGTCGTGTGGCAGAACTGAACGAGATCCTGGATGAAAGTACGACCATAAGCAGGCTTGTGGGAGAGGAGGACGATGGTGGTGCTAACGATGATTCGGCATCCTCCTCGAGCTTACGGAATTTGGTCAAGGAGGCGATCCATCAAGAGGTGTTGCCTGAGCTCAGGGGAATTATGGAGAACATGGGGCTACGTCTGATGGCCCAGCTGGAGACGGGCCTGATGAGTGCATTCGCTCCTCCTGCCATCAATGCCAACATCGGCAGTGTGACACCCCGCCCCCTTTCCCCTGCCCCTCCAGCGGATTCGTATGCTTTTTCTCCACCTGTAGTTCAGATGCCATGCACGCCTTCTTCCCCCCCTTCAAGCGCTTCCACTGCATGGCAATCGTCAATTCAGGTCAAGCAGCAGGAGCGGCAGTCAAGGTTAAGCAGGCCCACGTCTGGAATGGTACGTTCAATATTTATCACACGATTTGATGTTGAAACCGAACTTGCTGCAGGAGGTTGATGTCCCAGCTCAAGAACGGCAGCAGGGGGCGGAAGAGCAGCAATTCAGGTACCTAAAACCCCACGAGCGTCGACATCGTCTAGGAGCGATTCCAGGGGCTGCACCAGTGGTCATCGCTGCAGAGCATGGGAATGTGGAGGGCCTCAGAGCTGGCCAACATCCTCCCTGTCGCCAGAATGCCAGTGAAGGTATATTTCTCTCTCATTTTTCTTTGTTTTCCCTTCATACACTGATGCCAAAAAAATCTCAGCTGTGCCCTGCCCCCTCCCCCAAGAGGTAGATGGCTCGACACTCTCAATGGCATATGATTCAGAATCCACCTGCATGCTTCGAGCGGTGCTTAAAGATCCAACAGCAACATTCCGGTCTCCTGCCCAGTACCATGTCTACAAGGAGATCGTGGCCAGGAAGTGTCATTGCCTCTTTGTTTCCGCCTGCGGTTCTGGAAAGACGTTGCCGTTTGTCCTCGCTGCCAAGACATGGGCCCTTGATGGCAGGCAATCGGTACTGGTGTTACCGTACCAAATCCTCCATCCAGATATGCACAGGCGCCTGGGTAAAGCCAACATCTCCCACTGCAAATGGACCACTGAGAATCCGTATCCGAAAGAGCAAGTGGTCACCATCGCGATCGAGTCCTTTGACAACGACTTATTCATGACCTGGCTTACAGCATTGGCAAACGGTGGACAGCTAGGGTGTCTCATGTTCGATGAAGCACATGGGATCATGGAGGATCGAAGATTCCGTCCAGCCTACGAGGATGCGATCCACAAACTTTCACGGCTCCAAGATGCACCCATCGTTTTCACATCGGGCACAATGTCCCGGGACTTCATGTCTGAGTTCTGGAGGGCTCTGGATATCCGGTATCAGCCAGACGAGGCTGCGATCGTGATCCACACCAGCACTCAGAGACCCCAGATCTTCTACCAGTTCATGGTGCTCGATGTCGGCCAAGAGCCTCAGATGGCAGATTTGCCAGCCTCCAAGAAGGAGTGGAATCTCAATTGGCATGCACGCACAGTCGAGGTCATCTGTGAGGCGGAGAGGGGATTGAAGGGAGATGAGCAGGGCCTGGTGTTTTTTGTTGGCAAGGGCGAGTGCATGGAGTGGGCAGGGCACTTGAACTGCTCATACATCACGGCCGATGTTCCATCCCAGCAGTGCGAGCAGCATTTCGAGAATTGGCGAGAAGGGAAACAACGGATCTTGTGTCTTAACAAGGCAGGCTACTATGGTTTCGATTACCATGCCGTAGCGTTTTCGATCTTCGTTGGCCAACCGTTTTCGGTCAATGACTTCTACCAGAGCTCTGGGAGGGTAGCTCGAGGTCTCTCAGTTGGACTGAGCCTTGTATTGCTGCCGGCTGTTCCAAAGCGCCCTAGTCTTGCCATCAAGGAGTGTTTCGAGGGTCGCTTGGCGATGACGAGGACTGCCCAACAACTCGATAATTGCCATTGGGTCTTCCCTTCGCAGCATCTGGACGGTGTGAGTCGAAAGTGCATGGAGCTCCGCAAGTCAGAGCGCTGTATGGTGTTGTGTGCGGTGTGTCACAAGAAAGAGGAAGGCAAGCTGAGGGACTACAATTTCAATCGTCGCTGGGGGAAACCTTTCGGTAAGTAGGGTAGTGTCCCATTTCTCTCCTCTGATCCTTCTTTTAGAATTGGCGTGCAAGGATCGAAGCCCTACTATCGTTTCTGAGAGCTGCTCACCTGATCGCCCCCCCCCATACGCAGGCAAGTTCCAGCCATTCCTGGGCTGCTAGACCTTCCACCTCTGCTGGACCTTCCGCTTCTGCTGGGCCTTCCACCCCCGCTGGACCTTCCACCGCTGTGGGACCATCCAACCTGGCCATCAATTCTTCGCTTCAGTGATCCCGAGCCAATGGCGGTGGTGCCATACAAAATCAAGTGCAAGCCTGTCTCCAGGAGCTTGAGGGGAAATGTCTACTTTGTTGGTTGCATGGTACTTATGGCTCGCACGCAACGGCACGCTGTCTTGGCACCAACACATGGCAGGGGTGGCAAGAGCATCAGCTGCAACGCCAGGATAGGTCCTGGAAGCGTAACCACTTTTGTGCCGAAGTGGGTGAAGGGGGTAAGAAGCGGGATGTCCAAGGTTATTGCTGGATATGCCTCCTCGACAAGAGCTCTACTTTAGCACATCGTGATTCAACCCTGGGGGGGTGTATGTTCCGTGATATGATTCCCGAAATGGCCTGGATCATCCTAGGCTCAGAGCGACTCCGTAAGGCTCTCGCCGACTATGCTGGGGATGACAAGGTGGTAACCATATCCGGCTATGAATCATGGCTGTTGTTTAGATGGGAAGGCAGCAAGAAATGGCGTAATTTTTCCACACAGTTGGTACTCTTTTTCTTTCATCACGCTCGTAATCATTTGTAGTGTAGTGTATATACTTTCAGGGCAAGGGCACTTAAACAATGAATCATGACATTCAAGACGCTGGCATCTGTTATGAGCTACATGTTGAATGATGTACTGTACCTACACAACCGGGAGCCTGTCACACGTCACGCAACGGTCTTGGATTGAATCAAAAATCAACACAATTGAATTGATTTGCAGCCTCCGGCAACTCCCGGAGGCCGTAGGAACAGGCTCCCGGTCGTGTAGGTACAGTAAATCAAGGGTGCCCTGTGGGAGACCCGTGTTTGGTTGAAGAGATCGCGTGGGTTCAAAAGATGGCCATGGTGATAAAGCGCCGGCATGTGGTGCTGTGCTATGCGTAATAACTAAGCAAACAAGTAACCCATGTTGTTCTAATGTCCCTTAGAAGTTGGAAGCTGTGTCCATGTGCTGGGAGAGGGCTTGCCTCTCTTCCACTCAATTTTCCCACAAGCGCTGTCCAATTTCCTGTCCGACCTTCCCTTCACCTGGCTCAGTTCTGCAAACTTCATGTCATCCTTTTGTTTCTTACAGTGGCATCCGTGGCACAATACCACTCGAACATGTACATCAGGGCTGTCTGGAGCACGACATGTGATGAACTGTGATATCGTGGTCAGACTACCGATAGAGAAGGAACATTTATAGTTTAGTTCGGCTGGATTAGAGAGGCCAGCTGTAGCTGCTAGCAGTATGCTTCCTGGGTGGGTTCTGGCATGAATGAGGGGGCAGTAGAAGGGCTTTGCTTGTTAACAGCAGGCAGTGAATAGATGCTAATCGCGAGATAACTATCGTACATGAATTATTAGCAAGAGTCATAATAACTAGTCGAAGTATCGCTCTCACCTCAGCTTCACGTTACAGCCGATTCCAAAAAAATCGGCCATTTTGATTTCATCGAAAGAGATCCTTCCTAAAAAAGTTGGCCAGATCGCCCCACGAAAGGGGTTTCCTTACTTGGATGGATCCGCTTAGCGTGGGGGTCTTTGGTCTCACTGCATCCCCACTCTCATGCGCAACACTATGGCAAGCTCGGGTTTCCGGACTCGCTCACATTATCCTCAAATTCAAGCCCTCCACACACATGTGTGCGCTGCATCTTCCAGTGATGCACATTGATTCAGACTCAGACAAAGGGTTTGATGAAGGATTGCGTGAAGTCAGTCAGGAAGAAAAGCCTGATGATGAGCTTGATTGGGACTTGTTTTGAGGACTTCTTACAAGTCATTCCATGCTCTGAGCATAGCTTAGCCCTCATGTGCGATGAACAAAAAATCTGGTGACATTGATACACAAAATTCGGACTTGTTTTTGAGGGCATGAAGACTAGAATGTCTAGCACACTCAGGATGTTTCCCCATGCTGATTAGAGGGGGAGAAACGGACGCAAGTGTATGCAAACACAATGTTTTTTAGAGGGAGTTCCACGGTACCATTGGGTTTGCCGCCTTGCACTCAAAAGTTGCCATTTCTGGCAGAGAATGAGTGCCCCTAGATCTCTTTCGATGAAATCAAAACAGCCGATTTTTTTGGAATCAGCTGTAAAGTGAACTGAGGGAGATAATGAAGCGAGAAGGCGAACTTTTATAGACAAGTGTTAGGGCCCTAGCGCGTAGTACACAGGCCAAAGAGTAGTCGGACCCGAGTCAAAACGGAATGTCAAAGTGCTCCAAGCGTGATGTTTCAACGAAGAAAACAGAAGTTGCAACTTAAACCCATGATAGCTGTAGGGCCTAAGCTCCTACTGTGTGCCTGTTGAATTCCAACATGAAGAACCTCAGGCTGAGCACGATATCGCAGAATGAGAGACATCGGGTACATAGAGTGAGGTAGAAACGGAGTGAAGCAGAGAAGGTGACTCACCTGAGCACAATATCGCAGGACAATAGATGTCGTGCTCCCAGTGTACAAGCTGCATTATGATGGTGTGGCGAACTGGGGGAGCTGGGGCGTATTTCAAGTACATCACAAAGGGAAAGTTCGGTCAAAGCACTAGGGCACAATTGTGTAACATAGTGAGGCGTGAACGTGCTCCTCAAAGCTCAAGCATCTATATGCGTTAGTCCCGTTACGTCGGCAATGCAATAGTATTGTTGGTCAGACGACTGTCGGCATCGGTGGCGTTGGACTGCCCATCTAACATTGCTCTGCTGTGGCTGCATCTCCAACTCGATGGCAGGAAATTTGTCTCGGTACCTCCTCATCGAAAGATGCTTGCCTCAGTGCTGGTTCCAAGTCGGTGCTGGACACATCATCATTTCCATCAAGGGACGTTTCACGTGAGCCATGAGCCATCCATCTGGCTCTGTTGTTTGGGGCTGAGAGATCACCCCCACCCGGCGATTGTTTCCTCTTCGAAATCAGCCTAGCACAACCTATAGGTAGGTGCGTCGTTGAGTGCAAGGATGGGAGCAGTGATGATGATGACGGTGATGACGGTGATGGTGGTGATGGTGGTGATGACGATGATAACAACGGTGACAGCGATGACGGCAACAAGAGGTCATGGCAGAGCTGTGTCGGTGTAGGGGTACTGTAGGATGCCAAGGGTCTCACATCTTCTGCGGTGAGTTTGTCATTGAGGGCAGCCTCCGATATTGAAGGATTCTGCACCAAGAAGCGAATGAAGAATGACATCCTCGAAGCAGTCAGGAGTGATGGCCATGAAATAGTTGAAAGATTTACTAAGGCAAAAGACCTCTGTATCTTGGACATTTCCAAGTTGACCTTCGACTTGTTCGCCTGCAGGTACTGCACGCGCAGGAACCGGGAAAATACACTATCAAAGAGTAAAACAGGGAATGCCGTCCACTCACCTCGTTGGGAGAAATTGTCGGGTGTCGGAGGCGCTGCACTGAAAAGGACTGCCGAATTCTTCCGGAATCTGTGCTTCCCGACATATTGCCTCTTCACTGTAGACAGCATTCGATTCTTTTGCGAGGGATGTCCATCTCGGAGTACAGTCGTACTTGATAACCCGTGATAAAGCGAGGCGCTCCGTTGTCACCGATGTTATGGGATGGGGATGCACCAGTGCTGTCAGCTGCGAAAGGTGGATCGTAATCAGCTGGGCATAAAGCTTGAAAGAGAAGAACATTAAGAGGTGGATAAAAAAGAAAGAAGATTTCCCGCTCACCCCTGGCATTCTGCAACAAGCCACTTGTCCATAGTCGGAGGTATAGCCTTTCAGTGGTCCATGCGGATGGATCCCCTTCTGATCGCGTCACACAGAGCAAGGGCTCTTGCTCAGGTCCATACTGTCAATTTGGCAGGCATTTAATACCGTATGAGTTGATGCATTCATGGTGCCTAATGAACAAATCATCCATGACTAGTTCATACTCCCTGGCTCCTGGCAAGAACGATACATACTCTGAATGGAGCATCCCTCGACGTACAAGAAGATCGTCAAGACTGCAACGAGCTTGAGATGCTAGCCACATGAAAAGATCATGGATGACACCTTGGACAACCACTATGTGGGCCTTTATAGGGGGGACCTCAGGATGTTTGCATGGGGCCTAAAAGGTCTTTTTCACTATAAACATCCTAGGACATCCTGGCCATTCAGTTTCATTCATTTGTTGCAAACATCCTCAGATGTCCTAATTCAGTTTGATTCAATGGTTGCAAATTGTCCCGGAATGCCATACTTGTCTGTTAGAACCGGGCGGAAACAGACGACTCCGGAGTGGAATCAGAGACTTAGCGTGGAGGGACCTTGGCCTCAGCGACTCAAGCGGAGCACTGTGCCATTGCTGTTTGTCCATTTGGTCCTTAATTTCACAGTAGGTGAGCAGGAAGTCTCTAGGCGGCATTTCAGGTCGATTTCGGACTAAACCAAAACGAGTATGTACAAGCGCCGATATATATAATGGAAGGGGCAAAAGCACAAGGAGAACAAAGGGTAACCGAATCGGAACGAAGACGTCCGAACGGGAACAAAGGGTAGAAGGAGCGGAGCGGTACCAAAGGTCATAAGGCAGGACCTGTGATACGTCCGAAAGGAGGTAGGGAGGGCGAGGCCCAGAGGGGCAGGAGGATGAGGGGAAGTGGGGATGATGACTAACTGGCTAGAATAGGAAGAAGCAGTAGTCCAAATAGGGATGAGGGGAAAACACGAGAAATACATTACAAGCGGCGAGAGTGCCGAAGGCGATCCGCGAAGCTCGGGGGTTGCGGAGCTTACGGAGGTTACAGAGGCGGGGTTGAAAGTCCGAGGGATATTGGCAATGGTGTTTACGTAGTATGAGGTCACCAATGCAATGGACTAAGACCGAGGTGGAGTCAAAGTCCGAGGTAGGGACTATGACGGAGGCTCGGAGCAAGGTACGAGCGGTGTCCAAGTGCGAAGTATGGGACAGCAGTGGAAGGTCGTAACTTGGCGGAAGGGTGGTGGAGGAGTAACAGAGGGAGGAGAGAGGGGAAAGGTAAGGGAGAAGGAGTGTAGTCAGGTCCGAAGGTGAGTATCGGAGCGGACGGGGGAAGCGTAGGAGGATGACGGGAGGGTGGAGGTGTTGTGAAGGGGGAGCGGAGTAGTAGGAGGGTGGCGAGAGGGGCGGTGTTCGGTCCGAGGTGAGTATCGGAGTGGACGGAGATAGGGGAGGAGAGGTAAGGAGGAGGTGTGTTGCCAGGACCGAAGGTGAGTATCGGAACGGCAGCGGTAGGTTATGACTCCGGAGGTGAAGAGGGTGGAGGTCCGGAAGTCGGGTCGGGGTCGGGTATGCACGGATATGACATTGTCCATCCCATGGTCTGTGCGCATGCTGACCACTGTCTAGAGGGATGTCAACACTGTTTCCCACGGTCTGAACACACTTTACATAGTTGAATAGCCCCTTTGAATAGCTTCCAGAATATATATTTTGAGACTGAATTGACCAATAAATTATTGAGAAAAACGCAAAATACTTTTTTGGACACGAGTCTTTTGATGGTGGCTGTCCAACTTATTTAATGTCTGTGCACAATACTGGTCACTGTCTGAAGGAGTGTCAGCACTGTTTCCCACGGCCCCAACACACTTTACACAGATAGATAGCCCCTTTGAATAGCTTCCAGAATATATATTTTGAGACTGAATTGACCAATAAATTATCGAGAAAAACACAAAATACTTTTTTGGACGCGAGTCTTTGGGTTAGTGTGGCTGTCCAACTCAATGTCTGTGCACAATGCTGGCCACTGTCTGAAGGGGTGTCAACACTGTTTCCCACGTCCCCAACACACTTTATGCAGATGGATAGCCCCTTTGAATAGCTTCCAGAATATATATTTTGAGACTGAATTGACCAATAAATCATCGAGAAAAACGCAAAATACTTTTTTGGACGCGAGTCTTTTGGGTTAGTGTGGCTGTCCACCTCATGTCTGTGCACAGTGCTGGTCATTGTCCGGAGGGGTGTCCAGACTGTTTCCCACGGTGTCAACACACTTTGCCTAGTTGGATAGCCCCTTCAAATAGCTTCCAGAATATATAATTTGAGACTAAATTGACAAGCAAGTTATTGAGAAAAATGCAAAATACTTTTTTGGACACGAGTCTTTGGGATATCAGTGACCCGGGAATTTCGATGACTTCGATGACTGTCAGTGAAATTTAGTGGCCCAAGCACTATCCCAAAGACTCGCATCCAAAAAAGTATTTTGCATTTTTCTCAATAACTTGCTTGTCAATTTAGTCTCAAATTATATATTCTGGAGGCTATTTGAAGGGGCTATCCAACTACGCAAAGTGTGTTGACACCGTGGGAAACAGTCTGGACACCCCTCCGGACAATGACCAGCACTGTGCACAGACATGAGGTGGACAGCCACACTAACCCAAAAGACTCGTGTCCAAAAAAGTATTTTGCGTTTTTCTCGATGATTTATTGGTCAATTCAGTCTCAAAATATATATTCTGGAAGCTGTTCAAAGGGGCTATCCATCTGCGTAAAGTGTGTTGGGGACGTGGGAAACAGTGTTGACACCCCTTCAGACAGTGGCCAGCATTGTGCACAGACAGTTGAGCAGCCTGAGGATTGTCATGGGAAATCAGATTCAATTGCGGCATTATGTTTTGAATGTCTACCCTGAATAATACAAATTTGATTGAATCACAGAAGCATTTGATTGAATTTGATTGAATTATAGAATCATCCCAGGACATCCTAGGACATCCTAGGACGTCCGAAAAGCGGTCCACATGCGAGAAAAACCAATCCAGTGTCCTGACAAAGTGTCTTCAACCATTCAGTCTCACCCTCCAATGGAGCCGCCATCTGGAAGAGTTTTGAGTTCAGCAGGTTTTTAAGGTCATTGCCTCATAATCGTAGCCATACTCTATGCCATCATCCCATACTTGGGTTATAAGGAGCCCATTGTTGGCATCCAAGTGGGTATTGTAAAAGATGAGGGCTTTATCGAATGAACTGCCATCGGGGAGGAAGTTGAGAAGCTTCCATGAATCTGATTGGCGATCATCATCCCATGATGACTTCAATTCAAATCTCTTCATGAATAGTTGTTGATGGTATGAGCAAAGCGCTTATAAATCAACACAGAAAGTTTACTTGACCAGGATCGTTCATATACACCAAATCAAAGAATGCCTTGATTTCATTATCGACCAAGGTAGCCATTTCATCCCAATATGAGTAGATTATGACGGCCAGTTTCGGTAAATTCTCCATTGTTTGAGGTTTTTGCCCAGTACTTATGATTCCAGATCTAACTGCAGATGCACGAGGATGATCGTTGTCAAACTATTAGCGCTTGGGCGTGGGAATCGGAGCAAAAACACGGTGCGAGAAGTTGGAACAAGAAATTGTCATAAAAGTGCGTCCCGTTTGATGGGAACTCATGTGGCCATATAATGTATTGGTGATGGGGTATGAACGGGAAGTCAAACGGAGTGCAGTGCTGTTTCTCACCATTTGAGCGTTTTAATGGTTCAGCAAGCACAGTCTACACCAATGTAAAAACAAACTTAATTCATTGTACATACACATGCAGACTCGAACCCAGCCGTCTCCGCTTTGTGGACGCGCACTGCACAATGTTAGAAAATAATTTAAGTACCCCTTTGTATTACAATTCAGAAATCACGTTATCCAGACAAAGCCGCAATCAATACAGACCACCCCAATACAGTTATTAATACAAATAATAAGTCACATGTAACGGGGTTAAAGAGTTCATGTCCGATCATCTACTCCGAAAACCAGCACACGACACTTCGCTACGACGACTGGTTCACTATGGCAGTGGCAGTGCCCACCGGCAAACCCCGAAACAACTCTTGGGTCTCAAAAAGGAATCTCTTAGAAGCGCCAAACCCGCCCCCCGCTCCTTCACTGTCTTTTACACCATGGACTCACCCACAGATCATGCAACAGACACTAGGACACCTTCCACTGAGCATATAAGGGTTCAGAGTGAAGTGACTTGGAACTGACGTGCTTGCTGGTTCCAAGCTGAGATTGCCGAGTTTCTGCTTCACAAGCCAAAGCAGAATTTAGTATCAACAGCTGCAACAGGGACAGGGAAAACCTACACTTTTTTCCTCTCAGCCCTCTTTAAAATAACCTGGGAGTCTCTTTCATCATTGTACCACTGAAAAAACTGGCGGATCAGCATGTAGAAAGTGCCAAGGATTCAGGGCTCACTGCAATAGCACTGGAAGCGATGATGATAAACAAGGAAACCATCAAGGCACATATTTATCGATAAATGATTGGTTATGCATTCATCTCTCCTGCTGCCCATCTCCGCACTCAGAGGTGCCGGCTTCGCCCAGCCCCTTGCCCGTGTCTTGCTTTCCACAGTAAGTAAGTGATTGATCAGGGCCCAAACTGCTGGTGCCTTGGATTCGAATAGTGACTTCAGCGTGCTAATTCTTCCATCTTCAAGCTGTGCCGGGTGAAGGTGGGCAGCATTCATGTGAAGCCCACTCTCTTTTTCCATCAGTACTTGTATTTCTTATTGCTTGAGCACTTGTAAGGATCCAGTTTCTCACAATCGCTGTGCTGCCAAGCTCAGGCTCAGGATTGAGAATCTGCAACCTGAATTTCGCGTAATATGTCACCAAAGCCCCAGGAGGTCAAGATTGTTGACAGAAACGACATGAGAGTGAACCCATTAGTTAACATGCAATTAATTACA